TTAGGTTTGCTTTTGTGTAGCTATTTGTATAGCTGTATGTGTTGCTTTTGTGCCTATTAATAGGCTTTAGCTTGTATTAGGAAAGTAGCCAAGAGAATTAATGAAAATATGAGAAAGTTGGCTCACGGTTCTCTCTCTCCCCTCTCCCTCCTCTCTCCCTCTCTTGATCTTGCAAGAAGCTATCTCAAGCAGATCTTCCTCCCTCTAGTTTCTACAGCTTTTGGCCATTACTTTTTTTAATGATTTTAAGAAATTTTTATGCAAAAAAACTATCGTAGAAAGCAGTAAAAAAATAATCCCAAATAAAATCTAATAGGTAAAACTTTTTAACGTAGCTATAAACAACAAGGCAAATGACATTAACATGATCAATGAAAGAGAAAGAAGTAATAAGATATATTGTATCACTAAAGTTAAAAACAACATACAAAATGCAAGATTAGTTAATGTAGAAATAGTTCACTAATTCTTATTATGTGGTAAATTTTACAAAAACTCATAGGAAAAATAATAATCATTGTATTGAAATGTTTAAGCATTCGCTTGCATGAAAATTGTATTTACATCCAAAAATGGCTCATTGGCCATTATCATAATACTTTTATATTGATATATTCATCATTGATCTAATAAGATACTCTAAAACAAAAAGATTTTCACAAATTCATAGAAATATAATGGTTCACAAAAGAGCCATAACTTTAAGGGCAAATCAACAAAAATAGCCAATCACCAAAAATATTCTAATGACAACACATGCATCATGGGTACAAGTATATATTGTATAAATAACATATTATGCACAATGAGCTATAATGAAGATTCTACAATCATCATAATCAAAATCAATCAACTAAGATTCTCTAAATGCAAAATATTTTCATCAACCACAAAAAATTTAATGATTTTACAAAAAGTCTGTCATTTTGCTCTCTCACTTGCCCTATCTCTTAGAGAGATTATTCTGTGCGAACACTGGACACAGCTTACCGTTCAGAGACAAATCAGGTGCAGCCACGTCATCCAGTATCAAGCCGCGGTAAGGGGGTGACAAGGCACATTTTCATTGGGCTTTGGATGGTGTTTGGCTCCTGCACAAAATAATTAGTCTATCTTCTCTTGGCCCTAAGGTCAAGATTTGGGAATTTAAGAGGAACCTGAAAATTTGAGAAGACAGTTGGGTTGTGCTAGTTCTGTTGGATCGCCTCAATTCATATAGGGGGTGTTAGGTATCGGATTTATTTAGAGTTTTTAGTAGGATTTACGGTAAATCCAGTCAAACGCAAAAAAAAAAGTCGCGGTAAATCTGGCAAATCCGTAAATCCCGGATTTGAGGATTTACGGCCTAAATCCGCTAAATCCCGGTAAATCCTAATCCCGCTATGATTTAAGAGCCCAAGATTTACTAAATCCGGATTTACAGGATTTAGTAAATCCTACTAAAATTAAATCCAATCCTATACCAAACACCCCCATAGGGTTTTAAATTAAAAACACTCGAGAATTAAACCAAAAATTAACCTCTCAATTGTTTTTATGCTTGGTTATATGCCTTGTAACAAAACAGAGACAAATCACAATTGAATTTGTAACAAAACAGGGACACAGAATTTTGGTTGAACAAGAATGTAAATCAAGTGTTATCAGCTAAGAATTTTGTACAATTTTAGCCAACCGGTAATCTTTATGAACGAAAAATCATGACAGGCTTCACAAGCTAGCCTGAGCCATGAAGAGTACTAACCAAGATAAAACGCGTTTGTTAGGCATCTTGTGACCAGTCTTGATCTCCAACAATCTCCTCAATAGATTCATAGTTGCTTACCCCAGTTTCAGATTCCAAATGCTGCTTCTCTTGATCTATTTGATTGCTTTCTCCATCTCTCTGTTGGTTGTCCTGAGAATCTTCTGCTTTGTGTTTCTCTTCTTGACTCTCCTTTCTTTTCTTATGTAGAAGCTTGACAAGACCACGTAAGGCGATATCAACATCATCACTTCTTAACAACTCCTCTGACACTTCAGCTGGAGTTACTTCCACCTCTTTCAACAACTCGTCAATCTCCTCGAATATGGGGTGATCATCAATACAATGGTAGTTGGAAGCCAACACTCTGAAGCCATCTGGACCACAGTGACCCATATGGATGTGCATGTCCATTCGACCTGGTCGCAGCAATGCCGGGTCGAGCCGATCCTTGTAGTTTGTGGTGAACACGATGATCCTCTCCTCCCCGCTCGTCGACCACAGCCCATCTACGCAATTTAGAATTCCTGAGAGTGTTACCTCATCATCTTTAGATTTTTTTTCTTTCTCTTCATCTCTATTTCTCAAATCAATGGAGCAATCGATGTCCTCGATCACAAGCATCGATTTGTTTGGCATTCCAACCAGCAATGTCTTCAGTTCAGAATTCGAGCAAATCTCCTTCAGATCGAGGTCGTAGATGTCAAACCTGAGGTTGTTGGCTATGGCGGCAATCAGGCTTGATTTGCCAGTTCCCGGAGGACCGAAGAGCAGATATCCACGCTTCCAGGCCTTCCCAATCCTTTTATAGTACTCCTTTCTCTTCACAAATCTTGCCAAGTCCTCCATGATTATCCGTTTAAGCTCGGCGTCCATAGCCAACGTCTTGAATGTTGCAGGGTGGTTCAGCTCTATGGAATAATGCCATTCATCATATTTATTCGTTATGATCTTCAGCAGCCGGTCTGCCGCCTTGATTTCCTTTGATCGCTCTAGAATGTGAGGAAAATAGTTGTCCAGCATCACGTCCTTGTACTTGCTGTAGAATTTGAGCTCGAACCAGCGGATTTGGATGCTCTTTTCTCCGTTGCGGGAATTAGAGGTCTCTTCTTGGCTGATGAGCATCCACTTGTATTCTGTGCCTTGAAAGATGTCTATTATCTCCTCGCCGACATCAAAGGTGATGACGACCTTGTTCTTGTCCTCGCTCTTGCTCGCCCTTAGCCGCTTCATCGTTGGAGAGATCTTGGTGCGCAAGTAGATGCTGGCTGCATCGTAGAGCTCATTGGGATTGAGCCCTTCGGTTTGTGGGATGATTATGGTGTGCTCCGCAGAGAATCGACCGAAGAGTTTGTGAATTCCCGTGGAGGCCAAGCTTCGCAACTCGCTGGGGAGGAATTCGTTGATAACGGTGCGCGCGAGCATCGCCGAGGCGGCAACGGAGGCAGCTGTGGTGAGATAATTCTTGGCCGTTTCCATGACTTTGCTCCTCGACTCCATGGAGAAAATTTTGATTGGATTGAAGGTAAGAAATTTCCTTTCCCCTTCTCTTTTGCTAGCACTGTAACAGCTGAGCCCGTGCTTTACATTTATAGAAGATAATTTGGCTTAAGCCAAAAGCCAATTGTTGCCAATATTGTGCTAGCCAAGAATAACAAACACATTCCCGTTTAGGGTTCCTGACAACGCGCGCTCTCCAAGTTTCTGTAAAGAATGTGTAGGGTTTGATCAGGTAAGAACTCGTCACAGCCATTCATTTTGCATTGGATGATCTGGATTAAAGCGTAAGAATCGGTCAACCACAGATAAATATTATATTTATGATAGCTGTAAAAATTTATTAGTCAATATCGTTAAATATTTTTTTTTTTCGTTATGAAATTTTGTATTTGTGAAAAGGTAATAACAAATTAATATATTTGAGAATTTTCCAATCGTTTCAATTTTATTGGTGACATTAAGGCTTCGTTTGAGACGGCTTTTTTATTGCTTTCTAAAACAGAGTTTTAATACAAATTTTTTTTATTTTTTTATTAAAACTCTATTTTAGAAAGTAATAAAAAAGCCGTCCCAAATGAAGCCCAAGTTGGCTACACTAATGTGATAGTGGTTTCGATATAGAGAATGACATTAATGGAAGCTGAATGTTTCAGACACTGGCGAGGGTAAGTCGGCTAATCAATATAAATATTTTTAATTTTAAGCACCAATTAGTGTAATTTAAATCATGCTTAGTTGATCTAATCCTGACATTAGTTTGGATTAATTGGGTCGGCTACACTTGTCATTTTATGTCGGGAGGAGACTGGTTTTACATCTGCGTAAGAAGAAATTATTATGTGTTGAGTTTGAACATATCTTTGCATCTGAACACTAATTAAATGCTGACACGTGGATTTCTAATATTTATATTATTTTCTTTGCGACTCAATGACCCATATCGGTCAGACAATTGTTTTTTTAAACTTTTTTAAGAAAGAAGCCCGCAAAAGCAACTAAATTAACATTCTATGAGATATAAAAATAAGAATGGTTTTATAAATTCATCATTTTTAATATCAATTATAATAAGGAGAATGTCATATCATGTTGGGAGAAGATAATGAAATTCTAAAAAAATATTTAAAAATAGAAATGAGTTTGAAAAAAAAAAGTATTCACATAGATTTTCCCCCTATTTTATAGAAAATTTCGGATTTAGTTTAATCTGGAGTTCTCAATTCCCCATAAAGACAAATCTCCATAGTTAATTACATCTTAAGAGGAGTACTCTTAGTACTCTTAAGAAGACTCTTGATTAAAGAAGGGATTTCTTACCTTTTGATTACAAGATAAAAGACAATGTTAGAAATTAAAAATTTTCAAGGAGAAGGTGCAATATTGAATAATTCTTAGCGAGTAAAGCGAGAAAAGTATGGGGCACTAGATTCTGAGAAGCTCAAAGGCAACCCCAACCAATTATTTAAGTTTTGAAATTTTAGGGCTGTCATCTAGAGAAGATCTTAAGTAGCCTTGTACACGTGAGTGATATTTGTGCTAAATCTAAATGCAATTATTTTATTATTATTATTTATAATACAATGTGTGCTTGTTGAATATATATGAAATTAGAATACTTTAAAACTTTTGAAAAATGCATAAAAAATATTTTTCTTTAAGGAGCAGACCAACCGTAAAAAATAACAGTGCCCTCAATAGTTGGGTGATCTGAATTCAACTCGTAGGTGGGGAGGAGCGTAAACAAATAAAATATAAGAAAAATATGCATGCAACATCAAACGATTTCTAGTTTACTTTCTTGGAATATTTATATTTATATGTTATTTATTCTTAAAATTTTATTCAATTATGAGCAGAAGAATTTTTATTTCTAAGTGCATAGTAAACTTTTTTGGCACATGCACGTGCAAGAAAATAATATATAAAGAGCATGCAATATTTACTATGCAACCAATATTAATAATCAATCAATCATAAAATAAAATAAAGAATATAATGACCAAAGCCTATGTGACAAATGTCACTTACTATACAATCCAGGGTCTCCTGAAAGTAAATGTGGCTAGGCTCAACTAATAATAACATGGATTCTACTCCTATAAAATAATGTAAGTGTTTTATAACATTTTTATTTTCGTCTTTATTTCTTGTTCTTGAGCTTGGTTCTTTTCTTCAATCTCCTTGTGGTTCATTTCTTTTCTTTAGGTTTCTTATATGTTTATCCAATAGGATACCCAAATGAATAAAACCCTTCAATAAAGGATATTCTTTTCTCTTTGAATCCCTAATCTTTTTGGTAAAACGTCTCATTTTATAAATTTTCACAACTCATTTAATTTTGAAATATAAAACAAAAAAAGTTAGTAAAGTAGTTTATATGAATTCCAAAACACATCACATCATAATTATTTGTTCACTTTTGAGCAGCATATAAGCTTAACCATACTTTTGATAATTAAAGGGATAAACATAAAAAACAACTATAGAAAATTTGATTAGCTTTAAATCATGATAAATTTTAGCCCCTTATAATAATAACTTTGTATAAGCATGATCACCTGTAGAAAATCTGATTAACAATAAACATTCAGATCGCTCATAATCTAGGAAAAACAACCATCACAGATTATAAAAGAGATCATCAAAATATAGAAATCATAAAATCTATCATAATAAACTATAACAATAATGTCCTAATCAAAATGGCCTAATTTATGTTATAAGATGGAAACTAAAAGAAAAGTACTGAAAACTCGAAAGAAAACAATGCCTATATATGCTTATGTCATTAACGACCAAATGAATATCAAGAAATATCTCACGATGTCTAGGGTTTTCATGTTTGGGGTTCTTGCTTCCGACTATCGCCTCTATTTGGTAAATTTTCTCCTTTAATCCTTCAATTTCTTGTGATTTTCTTCTGTATGACTGCAAATAGATTAAAAGATCTTGGGTTTTTGGATGGGAAGCTTAAATCTAGGTCGTTTAGAGATGCTATATCTGGTGAATATGCTTTGCTGGATTTTCCTCCGCTCAAAGTTTCTTCCCATCATGGTTTGCGTTATTCATTTCGGATGAGGAATTGCTTTCACTTGCAGCACCTTTTGAGTTTGCTTTGGTGGGAAAGTTTTCTGGCCGTCGACTGCCTCTTGATATGATTTGAAAATTTTTCTTTAACATAAAGCTTTGTGGCGCCTTCTCGGTTACTATTTTGAACCCTAAAAATGTGTTGATCAAACTAGTTAATGATTTAGATTATTATATGGTTTTTTCTCATCGATCCTACTTCTTTAACAATTGTTTGGTAGACATTTGCGTATCGATAATGCAACAACGAATGGAACTAGACCTTATGTTTACCACATACTTGTTGAATTAGATGTTACTAAATGGTATACTTCTCAAGTTTGACTTGGTTCTGAGTATATGAGTTACATTCAATCGATTGAAATGGAAGAATTTTCAGCGTATTGCTTTCATTGTAAAACATTGGGTCATTCCAAGGAAGGTTGTCCGATCTTATTTCCTAAGTTAGATTTTGTTCCTCCTGTTCAAGAATCAACAGGGGGATGTGGCTGATGTTTATGTTATTCCTACTATTGACTCAGTTGGGGAGGTTCATGATGATATGGTGGTGAATCATGATTTGATTTGTGCTAATGAGAATGTTGTTGTTGTGTCTCCTCTGCTTAATAAGGTGGGGCATGAGATTATGCTTGCTTCACAACCTGGTGATGTTATTTTTCATAGGGATGGTGGTTTTATTTCTCATATTGTGAATTCTCGGGAGATGGTGTGTCAATTTGAGTGAATCTGGTGATGTGGGGGTTTTTGCCATGACTTTACCTCATGGTGAGGAGGTGCTGAGTGATGAGAAGGATGGGGCTTCTTGTCAACCGAGTGTGTGCTATGTTTCACTTGGGATTTTGATTTCTCCTAAACCTTTAGATGGGACAGCTTCTCCCCTTGTGGGGACTATGGCTAGCGTGCCTATTTCGCCTACAGTTGTGGGCTCTTTGTATGATGAGAATCTTGTTGAGGTGCTTATTGTTCTTATGTCCACCAATGATTTGAATGCTCAGGTTGCTTCTAATTTGGGGATTACTTATTTTGGACATTCGACTTGGCATGGTGGGTCTCCATCATCGCATGGGTGAGATGGGTGATGTGTAGGATGAAACATTACATTATTTGTATGGCATTGATGTTTGTAAGGTGGTTGAGAAAACTTTTTCTCGTGGATGTAAACATCGTAGACGAAAAGTTAGAAAGTAGCACTTTGCTGTTTAGGTGGTGACTATTTTTTTGTTGATCCGGTGGTTTTATGTTGTTTTCCTCTGGTTATAATGGTCATGGAATTTGCTGGGTATTTCTATTAGTTTTTCCTGTTGGTTGTGGGGGTATTGCTCCTACATTTTTTTTATCTCTCTATTTAGTGTTGTTTGCAGGTTGGTGCTTTCTTTACTTGGATTTGATCTAGATCGCTTGGGTTGCTCTTGATGGTTGTTCACTTGGTGGATGGATCGTGCGATGGGGTGCTATTTTGGATGCTGCAGTTGGTGATTGTGTCTCATTATTTTATTTTTCAGCCGTACTTTATTTTGTTTGTTTTTTATTTTTTCATGTATTAGGTGGGATCTAAAGCACTTAGGTTTTATTTCAAACGCCGTTATTTTAGCAAGCTACTGATCCTCTAAGAACTTGTACTATTCATCATTATTAACATGTATACCCCGCTGTGAGTTTTATTTAAAAAAAAAAAGAATCTCCAAATTTCATAATAAAAAAAGAATCTCCAAATTTCATCTCAATGTTACCCCCTCGAAGATGAAATTTTGATAACCACAACATCAACTTGTACGATAGGAATGAAATTTTTTGGTATATATAATACCTAAAGAAATAAAATATCTAATTTATTTCTCCTCTTTTTAATAGTATGAGACGTATAAAGTCACAATTTTTAATAATTTTAAATGTAATTTGAACTTTGAAGCAAATAATTTATTGAGAACTTCTATAGAAATTAATAAAAAGAAGAACCACTAAAGTAATGAAGAAGGATAATAATAGCGGAGAAGAAACGAATGCACCACGTCTCCGAATCTTGGCCGTGAGATAATGGAGGACGCCAGGAAGAACACGCGAAGAGCACCATCATCTTCTCTTCTCCTTCACCATTGCCTCCCTACGCTACTCTTTTCTGTCTCCTCTAGCTTCAATTCTTGACCTAGTATTACCAAAACTATGGCAGAGCCCTCAGGACGAAGTCTTGCCGATGATGAATACGATAACCCAGAGGAGTTCCAATGGGTAAGGAATAGCTTTAGGTTCTCTAATCGAATTACTTCTTCTTCTCTTATTTGGAGAGTTTTGATGGCGCAGAAGGATGCGGATGTGAGCTCTTCGACAGCAGAAACCTCTGTTTCTGCACAGGTGCTGGATTTGATGCGCCGCGGCAATAGAGCCTTCCGGGAGAAACGAATTGAAGAGGTGAAGGGTTTCTTCTTTGGGTGGAACGATCATGAGCTGACTTGCCTTGCTAATTATCATATTATTTTCTTTGAGTGGAACATATTAATTAGTGTTTGATGAACCAATTAGAAAACAAATTGATTGTTGAGGCGCGTAGCGTTCTGAGCGAGACCGTCATATACAAAGAAATTGTTTTTTTTTTTTCTTTCAAATTTGGTGACACGACAATTCGTAAGTTGGGGAAACTAAACGCTCTTCAAATTTGGTGTATTTTCAATTTCAAATTGCTCTCGTATCATTTTCTTTGGATGCATTGGATTGGGAAACTAAACGCTCTTCAAGAGTTAGATGGATTATATGTTAGGATTGAAAGTGTTTATAGAATTGGGGAGCTGGAGCATATGAATGGTCTTCGTCAATTAAGAATTAGCTTCCTTGAAAATGTGAATGATATGATGAAGCTTGCAGTGTCAAATTATGTAATAAGAGGAACTTCACAAATAATATCAATATACTGAGCTTAGGAGGCAAATATGCAACTCTTGCAACTTGTAGTAGTCTAAGAGGTAAGAGTTCTGTTAAGAAAGGAAACAAATAGCCATCTTTTGCTGCTACTAACCTATCAATCTAATCCTCCAATGCTTCTAATATCTCATACATAGCACCCCTAGCAATGGAAAGACACAATTATTGTCATTCCCATGAAATTTATTATTAAGTTTTTATACTTTTTCAATGCTATTAAGGTACAGAGACTTGAGGAAGGGAAGCTACCCAAAAGGTGGACAATTTTGCCACTCCAAGCAGTAATACAATTCTATGTACTCTAGATTGGAGATCAAATGGGCATTATTTATCCATATTGCAAACCTGGCTCCCATGTATTCTTTTCTCCTTAGTTTCCTTAGATTGTTGTGTGGTTGAAGGTTGTCAAGCACCATGACATTTAAGTCAGCATTTGCAATGTTACTAAAATCATAACAACTAAGGCAGCCCCATTCTAGGAACAAATCTTTGAGGTTCCTTTTATTACATAATTTGGCACTGCAAGCTTCCTCATCATCCTTCACATTTTCAATAAGACTGATTATATTCTGATGAAATTCTTTCATATGCTCCAGTTCCTCAATTTAATAATCAGTCTCATTCTTAATATAAACTACATACAGTTCTTGAAGAATATTTAGCTACCTAATCCCACGCATTCTAGGAAATTGATCTAGGGAAATTTCAAGTAATGCATATTTGAAAGATTATTTATGAAGCTTGATAAGAAATCACGAGGAAGAGAGAGATTGGTATCATGTTCCTTCCAAAGTCAGACATTATTATTAAAAATTGTGAACCACTAGTGATAGAGATTGTGATAGGAAACACTTGCGTTCGCAAGTAACCTAACCAAAATCGGCGAACATTCAACAGCAAAACTGCTGTCCGCAGCCGAAAACAGCATAAATCTGCTGTTTACAGCAGAAAAAACAGCAAATTCCACAAGGAAATCTGAGAGAAAACTCAAAGAAAAGCTTGTATTCCACTCGTCGATGAATAAAATAGCAAAGATACAATTGATCCTCAATTCGAGAGGAGGATCGATCTCTCCCAAATCTCTAGACGCCGCTAGAGCCCAAAGAAAACCTAAATCTAAGAGATCTCAAATTTCTCCCAAATTCAAGATGCCCAAACCCTAGGAAAAACATATATTTAATGCAAACAAATCAAAAGGAATTCCCTAAATAGTCCCTACATTCAAATTTCCCTCTCAAAACCCTCAAAAAAGCTGGACCGGTCCAGTGGACCGGTCTAACAGATTGCCTAGAATTCTAGGCAGCAGAGTGAAGCTCATCCATTAAGCATCAGGTATCAAAGATGTGTCAAATTTGATCCGAAACAAACATTAAGGTATGTTTTTCCTAGAAAACAAATATCGAGCATATTTGGTCAATTGCACTTATCATGAGACATATAAAGTCAAGTTTCCCATGTATTTTTTCCTTAAAAAAGAATTTCATGATAGTTGTAAACTAAGTTACTACTGTTATTCTATTTATTTTATTTTAATTTTTTTAAAGGTACTACTGTTATTCTATGTTTTCATGATAGTGTTCAAGAATTAAGTCTATTTTCTTATGGTTGTATGCTATTTTCAGTAATCTACTGATCTTGTTTTCATTTCGGAAAAACTGGTTATTTTTGTTTGTTATTTTTTTAAATCAACAGATGGCCGAATCATCTTCTAAAACTCCTTGTGCATAAATCTATTATTTCTTAAGCTTTTGTCACTTTTTCAATTCCAGTGCTTTAACCATAAGCATATTAGTTGGTGGTGTGTGGAGTGATGTCATTGCTTTTTTTAATTTGTATCCTTATTAATATAACGTCTTGTTTCTCCTCAAGTTGGCTGAATTTGAATTTTTTTGTTTAGGCTATTTCTTGTTACTCCAAAGCTCAACTTTTAAAACCTGGAGATCCTGTGATCCTAATCAATAGAAGCGCTGCTTTCTCTAGGTAAATGTCCAATATGTTGACATCTTATTTAATATATTCGTGATGCCTGTTATTATATGATAATATTTCCATGCAACTGTTATGGTTTACGTTAAAACTTTACACTTAATTCAATATTTCAAATACAATAGGATCAGCCAACTCTTGAGAGAGAGATCTGCAACTGCATCAGAGTATCAACCATTGAACGGTTTAGATCCAACAACTCATGCAGAGGTATTCTTCTTTTTTAAGCATGTTTTGCAAGAAGCTGTAGCTAAATTATCGCGGCATACCATTTGCGATTGCCTGCTAATTTTATGAGCCTTTTGTACAGCTTGCATTAAAGGATGCTGATAAAGTTATAAGTATTCAGAGTAATTCTCCCAAACCATATTTGCTGAAGGCCAAAGCACTGATTTCGGTAATGTTTTTTTGTTTGTTCATCATTATCTGTGTGCCTAGATTTTTCCTTATGTTTATCGTCAGTTGTCCAATCATTTATATTGAGCATTATTCCTGAAGGACAAAATTTTGAAATATTGTCTTCAATTTCTTTAATGTTTAGTTTGACGTTGACCTGCTAGACTTCAGTGACTTTGAACTTCGTTTATCTCTTACATCCTTATTTTGTTTAAATCGAAATCTTTTTTTTTTTTTGAATAGTGGCTTCTTTTCTCCCTGGTTCCTTGCAGATCATTGTTGATTTTTGATATTGAATTGGGTAGGTCTGATATCAAAGTCGATTGTTGATATAGAGGTTTCATGATATCTTTAGTACAACTTCTAACTTTGTCAATAATAGCCATCCATTTGTCTTGAGGGACCTCTTTATTGCACACTTGTAAGAATATAGTTTTGCTAAATGTGAGCTTTTTTTTATGCACTTGTTAGGTTCCTTTTGGTTTGCTGAAATGATTCTCAATCTGAATTTATTAATATTGCTAATTATTATGATGCCCAGTTTCTAATATTGTTTAGATGGTCAGCAAAGTGCTTAGGTCAATTACTACCTAAACCATTTCAGCATTTGAATAGACCTTGTTGTTAGAAATGTGTCAGGAAATACTCGAAGATTTCAAGTAAATCCTAACAATATAAGCAAAAACAGTGAGAGCGATCCACAAATTCAAAGAAAAAATAATAGTTTTTATTGGAATAATCAAACTAACATAAGAAAATAGCAAGATACAATTGATCCTCTATTCAAGAGGAGGATCTATCTCTCCCTAATCTCTAGACGCCGCTAGAGCCCAAAAACCTAAGAGATGCCAAATTTCAGCCAAATTCAAGATGTCCTAACCCTTGGAAAACAAACTATTTAATGAATACAATCCAAAAGGAAATATCTAAATAGTCTCTACATTCAAATTTCCGTCCTAACTCCCTTTAAAAATCTTCCTAAACAGCTCTGCAGTACCTGGGCAGTTGGATTGACGTATAGGAGGTGGAACGCCTCTGGCTGTTTCGCACGAGCCGATCCTATAGGACTTGCTATACTCCCCTCCCAAAGACCCACCTTGTCCGTAAGGTGGAAAGACGACATCCTCCTCCATTCCTTCTTCATCACAAATAGTAAGAACCTGAAGGGTTCAGTCTTTACACCTGTGTCCCGATGTATACCTCTCATCACATCTGAAACAGAGCCCCTTTGCCCTCTTCTCATGTAATTCTGTTTCTGTGAGATTCTTGAAGTTGTCCCCACATCTTCCTCTTGCAGTCTTTTCCTTCGAAGTCCCCCGAAGAGTATCCGATGTTGGCTCCTTGGATGCCAATAAGGTTGTGGTCATCCTATACGAGCCTACTGAACTGCTGCCTCCCATTCCTCTCTATAAGAGCCTTTAATCCTCCACCAATTGAGCTAGCTCCAGAGCCTTTCCCAAGTCACGAGGTCTCATCACTCTAACTGCCACCCAGATCTCTAGTTTCAGTTCTTTCATGAAGCTCCCCTCTAGCACAGTCTTAAAAAGGCGGTCCAATCGGCTAGTAAGGTAATCAAACATCTCCCGGTACTCTATCACTGAATCAGCTTGTGTCAAGGTGAAGAACTGCTCGTAGAAGTCTCCTCCACTGCCGATTCGGAATCGTTCTAACAGAAAATCCTTGAACTCCCTCCAACTCCGTATGGATCGCCGCATGTCACTCCACTAGTACCAAGCCAAAGCCTTCCCTTCTAAACATAGGCCAGTTGCCAACAGTCTCTCCTCATCCGTCAACCTAGTGACATTAAAGTACATATCCATCCTGTAGATCCACCTATATGCATCCTCTCCCTAAAAAATAAGCATCTTCAATTTTCTCACTCTCATATCTCCTCCATCAACCTTGTTTCCTCCAAAATTTCGCAATCCCCAAGGGGGTGTTTACCCCCAATTGTGCCAATCATCCTTCCTCCGCTCGCACCCAAACCTTTCATCACAAGTCCACTTTTTTCCTTCAAATTCAGCACTCCTTCGATCATATTCAACCCATATCCTTTCAAATTCGACACCTCTTCGATTATAACCAAGTCCTTGCCTTTCAAATTCAGCTCTCATCTTTCAAATTCAACATCCCTCCACTCATGCCAACCCTCTCATGCCTCTACACACACTCTCTACTGGACTCCTCCCTGGGAATAGGCCCTAGGGGAGGCTTTTTTTTTTTAAATGTTCTTTTCGAAATCTCCACCTCCTGATCCTCCATTCGTCTGATTGGCTTAGTGTTTTCTCCACTTTCCTGGCTGTCGGTGACTTCCCTCACCTCCGACGACATTTTTTTTTATTTTGGCCCTCGAGTACTTTCTTCAACATCTCCCCCAGGATGAAAAAAATTGAATCGATCTTATCATTGATGACTGAAATTTCTTTCTTTTAATCTGAAACTTGAGTTTTTAGATATAAAATATCAGATTTCATTTGTCCGATCTGTCCTTCGAGGCGTTCCTACAACGCATCCACTTTCTTGGCCGCCATCTATAATCGAATTTTTGTTGAACTAAAAATATGAATCTCAATTCCAAAAAACAGCAAAACAGCCCCCTTCCGGCTAACAATCAGCCGCTGATTTTCTCAAAAAAATCCCCCAAATAGTCTCAAAATATGCTATGATACCAATTTGTTAGGAAATACTTGAACATTTCAAGTAAACCCTGACAATATAAGCAAAAACAGTGAGAGCGATCCAAAAATTCAAAGGAAAAACTAGAAAAAACAGTAATTTTTATTGGAATAATCAAATTAACAGAAGAAAATAGCAAAATACAATTGATCCTTTATTCGAGAGGAGGATCTATCTCTCCCAAATCTCTAGACACCTTTAGAGCCCAAAAACCTAAGAGATATCAAATTTCAGCCTAATTCTTGATGCCATAACCCTAGGAAAATTAACTATTTAATGCATACAATCCAAAATGAAATCTCTAAACAGTCCCTACATTCAAATTTCTCTCCTAACTCCCTTCAAAAACCTTCCTAAACAGGTCTGCGGTGCCTGGGCAGTTGGATCGGCGTACAGGAGGCGAAACACCTCCACCTGTTTTGCACGAGCTGGTCCTACGGGACCAGCTGGACCAGTCTAACAAAATAAGAGGGCAATTACTTTTCTCATAAGTCATAATTACAATTCCAATGCCACAGATATCGACCATCCTAAAAATGTTTGATACCAAGGAAATACATAAAAGACCTTGGTTTAGTTTTCTGGGAGGAGCTCTATTTTATTAAATTGTTTGAATCAAAATTGAATGGTCATTAAGGATAATTTTCCTATTAATTGTTCTTTACATCCTGTTCATCAACAGCACTTTTAAGAGTTGACAAACTCGCCTATCAGAATTGCTATCTAGCAATGAGAAAAAAAAAAAAAGATCTATCAAGGTTGTTGTTAAATTTAGCGAACTTCAAAATTAATTTTTTTGTATTGTGTTTGGGAATGCAAAAATAAACCTAATTATTTCGATAAAAGGGTGCCTTCTGTCAATATTAGAATCGAGAAGAAACTTAAATCCATTGCATGTTTACATGAAATTTACAGCATTTTCTCTATTTTCACACTTGTTAGTGTTTTACCTGCAAATGTGAGCCTAAAAAAAAAAAAGTGTGCCTACAAATTAGGGGTAACGTTACCCTGATGATTTAGTTAGGTTTCCATATGAGGATAGTATCATGATATACATATGTGATGATTCATGCACCCGAGTAGAGTCGTTCCGATTGTAACAAGTGCGATACTTGCTGATACCCTTTTTCCTTGATCATTCTCACTATCTTTAACTTTATATACAGCTTGAACGCTATGAAGAGGCACGAGAAGCACTACTTACTGGCCTTCAAATTGATCCTCTGAGGTGTGAATTAAGCCTTTTATATGCTGTATTTTTAGTTACTTGATCTTGTTGTACAGGATGACTGTGTAAAATTCTGAAGAATTTTGAATTTTATGTGTGATTTTATGAAGATAGTGTCGACATTGTTTGTGAGTTTCAGCCATCATGCCAAGAATAGTCTTCAGAATTTGGATAAGGTCATCTCTGGTTCAGCTAAGAGGTTTAAACTGTGGAAACCACAGAGAACCGATGATTTTGAATGCACGTTATGCCTAAAGCTATTATTTGAGCCTGTTACTACTCCATGTGGGCATTCTTTTTGCCGCTCGTGTCTACTTCAGACTATGGATCATGGTAAGCTTAGAACTAACCTCCTGTATGGGAAAATTGTATTAGATCCTTTATGTGGAAAAACTGTGTTTTTATCACTTAACAGCAGTGTGTTCTATGAAATGATAGGTAACAAGTGTCCCATGTGCCGCATGGTCCTATTTATCAGCCCCAGAACATATCCTATTAGGTACAATTTCCTCTTTCTGTCAGGTTATCTGTTATATTTTTGAATTTTGTACTTGTTGTGACACGTTTTACTTCTCTATCTATTTATTATCATATAGTATGAGCATCACTGTGGCCTTTGCCCTTGTGGAGTTTCTGATTTTAGTGTTTTTTGTGATTTCCTCCAGCGTGACTCTGAATAATATTATACAGAAAAACTTCCCTGAGGAATATGCTGAGAGGAAGCTGGAGCATGCGAATTTAACATATGGGGGGACCGACATATTGCCTCTTTTTGTTATGGATGTTGTCCTTCCATGCCAAAAGTTGTCTCTTAATATATTTGAACCGCGTTATAGATTGATGGTGAGGCTAAATCAATTCATGCACTATAAGCTAAATTTGTAAGATTGCCTAGGAAGACTTGCTGTTTTTTGTGTTTATGTTCTTTTAATCTTTTTGGTATTTTTAGCATTACTTTTCAGACTAAGTTCTCATTATTGTTTTTTGTTTGGAACTATGGCATACATATTGACTAGTTGTGTCAATCACTACACAATGTCCATGCTTCACGTCTAAGAAGTTAAGACAAGTCGTGGACAAAAATGGATAGTTTCCTTCATTTTTTTTATACCTATTTGAAATCTTGCTAAGCTAAGAAAATGATATCTTAGGCAATTTATTTCTTTCCTTTTGTTTTCTATTTTTTTCTTTCTTGATCTAAAGCACTTATGGGTGTAATAACCATGTGGAAGAAACATAAATTTTGCTTCATTGGCAATCTGAATATCTGAATGTCTTGTCTGTATGTATTATTCAGATCATGGATAAAGAACTTGTCTCGTGTCTGATGCCGAGATTATAGGATTGGCATAATGTGCTTTGGGGTAGGTCTTAAATACACACTGGAGTATGGTTTGTTGAAAATTTGGAGTTAAATTTCCTTAAATCCCTAAAATCATTGATCAATACTGCAGTTTTTTTTGAGTCAAGATAATCACCTATTTTTAGCCCTAAATCTCTGAAAATCTTATAAAATCTGATTTTTAAGAGGTCAAAACATATCTATAGAAACTGTTGCTATTCCTATGGTTTCCTCCAACTTTCTCATGTTATACAAGCCCATGCAAAGCTGTGTTCGGAATTATTCATGTTAAACAGAGAAGCATCTTCATGGTTTTGCCTTGTACTCTCGAAATCTCCAATATTCGGGTTTGGTGGCAGTTTTTTTTTATTCGTCTCCAATGTAAAACAACAAACAATCGTTAGGAAAACTGAAGGAATGCCCAAACGGTGTATGATTTTGTATTATTTCTTCAATGCGAGCAAGATACATGTGATTTACAATAAGAGAGGTTGATTGACTCTCCCACAATACCAAGACGCTACTAGGAACTCTCGAAAGAAAAAAAAAAATATAGCAAAACTCAAAACATACATAATGCAAATAAACTCTCGAATCAACCCTAAATAGTCTAATTCCCTCCAAAACAACCTTATTTCCGTATTAATTTCCCTCTCCTATTTGAATTCAAATAGGAAATCATTTCTTAATTAATTCCCCTCATAACATAATGAATTATTGCTTTGCTGGGCTCCACAAGGGAGGTCGAAAACTCCTGTGCCCCCTCCAATTCTTGCTTGACCGGCTGGTATAGCCCCCCTTGCTTGCAACCGTTACAAAACTCCTCTTCTCAAAATGCACCTTGTCCTCATGGTGGAAGGATGAAAAATATCTCATGATCATTTCGTATGGCTCCCATGTGGCATCGTGCTATGGCAGATCCTTTCACTTGTTTAGCACCTCCTATGCCCCTATCTTTCTTCCACGCACACCTGCTACTTCTAGGGTTTCCAAAATGACCACCATGTTCTCTGTCAAAGTCAAAGTTGGGGTAGTGACGATGGTGTGTGCTCTCCCCTATTGCCTTCCTCAACTATGAGACATGGAAGACTGGGTGCAAAGTTGATGAGGGTGGTGGCCTCAATCGATAGGCTACTGCTCCAATGCGCTCCAAGACCTCATAAGGCCCCCAAAGTATCATGGGGATAATTTCTCATTCCTCCTCATGGCTAGTGTCTTTGTTAGACCGGACCTCCCTAGATCGGTCCAAGGACTGGTAGTCATATATTGTCTGCGGAAGTACCACGCACTTGCAGCAATTCCACCCGATTGTAGTAACTCGCCCACATCCAATTCGAAATAGGAGAGGGCCGGTTATGAGGGAAAAGGAAGAGGGGGAGGGCTGTTTTGATATTAACTATGTTTTGTATGCTTTAAGTAGTTGGTTTTTGCTAGGGTTTGGTTTTCCATGCTTGTGTTTGTAGAATTTAGGTTTTCTTAGGTTGTGGGGGCTCTAGCCGATGGCTAGGGATTTGGGAGAGCCGGATCTTCCTCTCTAATTGAAGATCCAATTGTATCTTTGCTTTTCTCTTCATAGTTCTTGCAATCAAAATTATTTTTGGGCATTCTTTTTCCCAATTTTTGTGTTTTGTTCTTTTTCTCAGTATTCCACTGATTTTGCTGAAAAGGGCATCTACTTCCTACATGCAGAAGCATGTAGGGCCTAAATTTTAAGTAAATCATGTCTCCTAGCTCGAAGTTTACTTCTCCCTTGTGCTCATCAACCTTCCTTTTCATGATCTGCTGGGCTCTCAACAAATGTCTCTTTAGCTCACATAATACATTGTCCCTCTCCTCCAAGTACTCCTCTATGCTGGACACTAGTGTAGTGCTCTGCCTATAATAAATCAAATAAGGTGGATCTCTCCCATAAAGAATCCTAAATGGGGTGGTCTTTACTGTTGAATGGTATGCGATGTTGTACCAATATTCATTCCAAGCAATCTACCTTGCCCAACTCTTTGTCGTGTGTGATACAAAGCATCTAATAAAATAGGTCTATGCACTTCTGTTTGGCTATCTATCTAGGGTGGTAGGCTGTACTTCTCTTCAGGACTATCCCATGTAAACAAAACAACTCCCTATAGAAGTGGCTATGGAACATCTTGTCTTTGTCTGACACAATGGCTTTTGGAAATCCATGCAAGCTCACCACTTCTCATATGAAAACAATAGCCATAGTGACCGCAATGTAAGGGTGCTTCAGAGGAATGAAGTGTGCATATTTGCTTAGACGATTGACTACTATCAGTATCACCGAAAACCCCTCCGATCGTGGCAATCCCTCAATGAAATCCATCGTCACCTCCTCCCACACCCTCTTTGACAAGGGTTGTAATAATCCAATTTTTTTTTGAATTTTTTTTTTAAATGAAAAAATATGAATTTTAACGCCGTGCCTTGTCGAAGAAAATAGAGGCAAGAGAGAGAATGTTGTTCATTGCTTTTTCATTCGTCAATTTTGTTTAGAGATTTCTTCTATTTGTTTTAAGTAACTCAAATATCAATTTAGTTTTCAATGATTTTGATTATTATATAGATTTTCTTATAATGAACATAATTGATTATTTTCAACTGCATTTTGATTGTAGCATTTGCATAAGCAAGAAAGGTTGGCTGTTAACACTATAAAATAGGTTGACTGTTACAACATAAAATCCTGCGCAAGAGAGTGAGCCGACGGGCTTTCCTTTAAAGATGGTTTGTGGTGTTATCCTTGTTGTAGCCTATAGCAGATGACCGATTATGCCGATAGAAAGAGAGTGATGACTCTTTATTGATTTAATGAAGTCACCTGTAACTATAATTGATTAATTGAATATGATAATTTATTAATTTGATAAATGATAATTGATATGTCTGATGATTAACTGGGAATCAGTTGGGATAAAATATATTGAAAGCACCACATTAAATCTCGAAGTCTTGCTTTGCTAAATTATATATTGATGCATATATTGATAGCACTGATGCCATTGACAGATTTGTTAATATCATTGACAGTATTGGATACATTGATAATACATAAATATATGATGCATATGAATAAATAAGATAAATTATTTTAGTGATTCATGAATGATTTATGCATCGTTGTTTTACCAATTTATTGAATTTTATACCAATTATTGATTTTTTGATTTATTATAATGATTACTTGTTTTTATAATTGATCATTTTGAGTTTTACTGATAATGTTTGGTCGTTAACTACATTGATTGCTATTGATTATATTAGATTGAGCATATCATATTAATTCTTTAGTTCGTGCATTGAAAGCTTTAGTGAGTTTTGGATTACTGCTAGGCTTTTGAGCTTTTATGTGGATTTATAATGATATCATTGCTTTCATCAGCTGCTCGAAAGCTTGTGTAGCTGCCTCCTCCACTTGAAACTCTCCTTCTTTAGCTGCTCAGTCAATGGACATGCTATCATGTCATACCCTTGCACAACTTCCGGTAGTACTCGGTGAGGCCTAATAATCCTCTCAACTCCCTCAAGTTCTTAGGTAAAGGCCAATCCAGCATAGCCACAATCTTGGACTGGTTTGCTTTATCCCTCCTATTTTGCTCACATGTCTTTTGTACTCAACTTTTGGCTGTCAAACGAACATTTCTTTAGGTTGGCATATAGTTTGTGCTCCCTAAATATCTCTAACACCGTCCTTAGGTGTCCCATATGCTCTACCTCTATCCGACTATATATCAGGATGTCATAAAAAATATCAAGACAAACTTTTTGAGATAGGTTTGAAAAACCCAATTCATTAGTAACTGAAAAGTGCCTGGAGCATTGGTAAGGTCAAAGACATCACTAAAAACTCGTAGTGACATTCGTGAGTTCTAAAAATTGTCTTTTCCACATCCCCTGGCTTCATCTTGATCTGGTGGTACTTCGATTTTAGGTCAATCTTTGAAAAGATGATTGCCCCAAATAGTTCATCCAACAGCTCATTAATAACATGAATGAGAAACTTGTCCCGTACAGTTATTTTGTTTAGGGCTCTATAATTCACGCAAAACCTCTAACTGTTGTTATTTTTTTTTTCACTAGTAAAATAGGGATGAAAAATGGGCTCACACTTGGTCTAATAATCCCTGCCTCCAATATCTCTCTGATGAGCCTCTCTATCTCATCCTTATGGATCTACGAATGCTAGTAAGAACGGACACTAATAGAAGAAGCTCCATCCTTTAAGGTAATCGTGTGCTCGTGCTCTCTAGGTTGTGGTAATCTACTATGTTGCTGAAAAACCCCAGAAAATTACTGCATAAGCTGATATGCACACTCAGGGACCTGATCTGCATGTGAATCTCGGATTTCCTCCAAACTCTGTAACTCTACCAAGTAGTCCAATCCTACCCCCTATATTTTCTTGACCATGATTTTGACTCAAACCATAGTTCAACATAGGCTGACATCTCCTTGCAGCACCACCTTTTCCCCTTCCACCTGTACCTCCATAGTCAACGACTTTCAATCCACCGTGGCCTCTCCAAATCGTCTGTAACCACTTCATCCCTAGGATTGCATCAATGCTTCCTAATTCCAAGGGAAGAAAATCCTCCACTAGCTTTATGCCTTAGAGTGCCAACACCAACCGTCTGCAAGTCCCCCAACTCTTCTCTACCTTTCTTGTTCCAATCATGATTCGAAAGCTCCCTGTATCCATTAACTTCAATCCTAGCTAGGCCACGACCCAGTTGAAGATGAAATTATGAATAGCCCCATTATCCAACAAGACCACCACTGGTTGCTCTCACCTTCATGGTGTGACCTGGGGTAAATATCACCACGGAGTTTAGGGACACCTCTGCCAAGTCTAGGTGTAACTGCTTTGTTTCCCCTATGACCTCCTCTAGCTCGTTCCCACTCTCCTCTTCCCCTTTACAGACCATCAAGGCTTGAAGGGCTCGATTCTTGCACTTATGTCCCGGTGCAAATCTCGAATCACACCTGAAGCATTACTCTTTTGTCCGTCTATCCTGCACTTCCGCTTTTGTAATACGCTTGAGAATTGCCTCTAGGAACTCCAGTGCTCTTCTCCTTTGGTGCTTCCCTCTAAAATGACACCATCTGGGTCCTCGATGCCAGGGTCGTGGAGGCATTCCTGTAAGCCTCTCCCATGGTGTTGCTCCAGCGGGCCTTTTCCCTCTGATGTTTCTCTTCCACCCTTTGTGCTAGTCCATCGTTTCCCTAAACCCCCTAGGCCTCAACACCTCGAGCTTTTGCTCATTTGTCTTCCTTAAGGCCCTTCATAAAATTCTCGTCCAAACTTTCCTAAAAAATTCCTCCTAGTCCTAGTTTACCAGACAGTAGCTCAAATTTCTAGTAATACTCCATGATTATCCTCTCTTGAGTTAAGGTATAAAACTGCTCGTGGAGGTCTCCTTCCCGAATGGCTTAGAAGCGTTTCAACAAACAATCCTTAAATTCACCCCATGAATAGATTGGATGCCTAGTCTGCCTCCATTGAATCCAAGTTAAGGCTTTGCCCTCCAAACATAGCCCCATCGCCTTGAGCTTTTCTCCTTCAGACAACTCATTGATAGCAAAGTAACGCTCCACCCGATACACCCAACCCTAAGCATCTGCTCCAAAAACTAGCATTTTTAATTTTCTTGATCTTTGATTCATACCCCAATAGTTCCTCCCTCTGTTAGTTCCTCATGTGTAGTGATGGTGTGATTCTCTCCCTTCTTTTCTTGGCAGATTTGGACCCCATGGCTCGGCCCAACCATTGCCTCCTTCGGTCCACCTTCCCTCTTGCCTGGGTGGTCTCCAATAGGTTTCGGCCTTCCCCCTTCTTTCTTTCCTTTCTTTGAAATACCTTGAAACACCTCCCATCGGAACCCCCCCGGGTGGTTCTTGAGGGAAAACACTCTCCCCTAATGCATGTAATCTACATGTGACCGCAATAGCCCGACGAGATGAGAGGGATGTGCTAGGTGCAGCTGAGTTATCTCGACGACAAAGCTGTTGTAGTAAGGTGGACTCAAACTATTTTGTGTGTTTGTGTGGGAGAGAGCATATAAATTATTGAATTTTGTTTTCTGGCTTTCTTTTAACAATTATTTTTCTGTTCTTACATTTTGTGATTGCTCTTGCACTGTCGACTGGCCGTTCCCACAATAAGTTATGTAATCTTAAAGAGGAATGTGTGAAAAGAGATGTGTCTGAGCTTATTTTCAGGCCACTTTAAGACGATGGTGGTATTATATACTTCAGGATAAATATCATACTGATTTTAGCATTGTCAAAATCTGTGAAGACAATGCTCCGCCTTTGCCAACTTCTGATTATAATACTCGTGTTGTTTTGAGCTTTGAAAGTTATGTTTAAGCTGTGTTAAACTCCTTGGCGGATGCCAGGTTTTTGACCCTCATGTTTTAGAGCTAAGTGTACATTGCAAGCTTTCATCAACTAGTGGTTAATGACTTTTTAGTATAGTTCTTTCATGTGTCGCACATTCTCTAAGATCATTCAAGAAATTGTTGCAGTGCATCATCCCTCATTTTTGAAACTCTTGCTAGATAATCATTATTTTAATTCTTCCATGACAGGTGAGGAGAATAATGGAGGGAAATCATCGCATGGGAATGGTTGAATCGTCCTATCTTAATATTTTTTCTGAGAGTTGGTTGTTTACTGATGCGCTTTCTCTTTAATTATTTTAGGTGATCATAGATTCTACAACAGGTGCAATTGCTGATTATGCCTGTGAAGTGGAAATTCTCGAGTGAGTAAGGGCCATTATCTTTTGTTTTCCATTTTATTTCTGAATTATAATTTTCATGCTGGAGCTACCATTCAGGTGTGAACCGCTACCTGATGGGCGGTTTTACTTGGAGGTAATTTATTCAATCCCTTTTAAGAAGGAATCCTCATCTTTTGATCATCATCTTCTCTGTTGCATGTCACAACATTTTAATCTTCTGCATGATTACGGTTTTTTTGAAATGCGTTCCACTTTTGTTTCATTATATTATTTGTTTACTGTGCATTCTATACCCCAATAGATAAGTGAACCTTTTGATGTGTTACTTTTCAATTGTTGCAATGCCTGAACTGAATTAGCTTCCTAGTTGTGCGCACCATGCCTTTGCATCAAAACTGCACCATTCAGATATTCAATCCTATTTACTCCTTCCAATAAGAAAGCACCATTTTTTGTTATCCATCTATCTTTTGTTTTACCATATTTCCATCTTTATCTTTTATAAACTGTAAATCAATATTATTTGTCTTAATCGCTAATATTGAAACTTGCGGGGTTAAATAGTTTCTCTAATAACAGTTCATATTAGTGCAGCTTATGAGTTGTGAATCAAATCCTAAATGCTTCCCGTTGTCTAAGCTTATGATTTATGAGTCATACGATGCGCTTAATAATGCATTAAGCCCTTTAGCAGCCGAAGTTAGATTAAAATTTACCCTTTTGCAAGTTTCACCCTGTAGATTCTATTGCAAAGCACAATTCATGATTGTTGACAGCAATTATTTGGTTATGTTGAGTTGACTATCATTGTTGACAACTCAGGGTGATCAAAGCATAGGAATTTGTTCGATTTTGCCATTATTTCCCGTCATTTGCTTTGAGGCAATAGCAAAATATTTTTTCATTAGTTTAATTAGATGCTACTAAAAGAAAAGCAACTTAGATTATATAAACTGGTTTAAATTGAAACTCCTCTCTCACAATCGACAGAGGTAATTAACCATATTGGTCTATAAAAAATCTCAAATCAAATTATAGAACGGTATTAGAATTTTAAAATCTCTGGATGGTATTTTATCTAATATCTAATTTTCCTCTTGAAAAATCAACTTAGAATCAATTGAATATCTAAAGAGCTGGATAGAGATTTTCAGTATATATACACACACACGCACACACAATGGTGCTAGGAACAATTTGCTTGATTACAATGGGCCTATCTTTTTTTATTCACGTTTTTCCAAGTGGTAATTCTTGGCTTGCAGGGTCATAACAAATGTCTTTATGTAGGTTGAAGGTCGCCGTCGATTTCATATCTTACGATCATGGGATCAAGATGGGTATGTCATGCCTTTCTTTTTTTTTCTTTTCTATTTTATTACATGCTTGTTCATTACAAGCATGGACATCCTGAAAAATTATTAGCTTGATTTATGAGATGCTTTTATTTAGCTTTATTTCAATTCCAAACATAGGTATCGGGTAGCAGAAGTTGAATGGGTTCAAGATGTACTCCCCTTAGAGGGATCACAAGAGAGGGAAGATGTAAGCTTGATTTTTCTGCATGCTATCACCGTCATTTGCATTTTATTTGTACAAGCATTCGCCATTTACAGATCTATGTTTTTTTTTTTTTTTCTTGCTCAAATTTCGTAATGTTACTTTCTGTTTCTCATAATATTGAAACAAATATATGGGCATGCTAACCTCTCTCTCTCTCCCTCTCCTCTCTAAATCACTTGTTATGGAAATGCTTAGAAAGGTTTGTAAGCTATTTGGTTCTTTTTCACAGCTACAGCAAATGGCTAGTGAGGCGTCAGAGCTGGCTCAAACATGGATAAGAAACGCAAGAGAAGCTGCAAGAATAGGTACAGTTGCAAGTTGAATTAACTACTTTCAGCAATTTGAATTAATTGTGTTCTTTGGCTCTTGATACGGCTCATGTCTTATGCATCTTATTTCACGCCTCTAGTTTAGCCATTTTAGGTTTATTATCTTCTTATATATTTTTCTCATCTTATATTTATTCTGCTCAACACAAACTCATTCGGAATAATAAATTTGGTTTAGATTTATTTTCAGTAATTTTAATTTCATTAGGATTTTGCTGTTATTTAATTATTTTATTAGATAATTCTAAAGGTTTTCGCTTGAGTAGATCTAAAACGGAATATATGGAGTGCAATTTTAGTAGTAATAGACCTAGTGAGGGGATTGTGACTTTGGGCGATCAAGTCATTAATAAGAGTACACGTTTTAGATATCTTGGATCTATTGTTCAGAGTGATGGTGAAATAGATGGGGATATTATCAGCAAAATTCAAGTTGGATGGTTGAAGTGGAGGAATGCATCGGGCTTGTTATGTGATAGAAATGTACCCCTCAAACTTAAGGGAAAATTCTATAAGATGGTAGTGAGGCCTGCAATGCTTTATGGTGCCGAATGTTGGCCTTTAAAAGAGAAGCATAATACTAAGTTAAGTGTGGCAGAGATGAGGATGCTCAGGTGGATGAGTGGCTTTACCCTTAGAGATAGGATACGAAATGAGCATATACGTGTAAAGGTTGGAGTAGCTCCAGTAGAAGATAAGATAAGAGAAAGTCGCCTTAGATGGTTTGGTCACATAAAACGGCGGCCTTGCGATGATCCGGTTAGGAGAGTAGAGGTATTAGATTTGACTTATGTTAAGAAAGGTAGGGGTAGACATAAAAAGACTTGGTTAGAAAATATTAGGAATGACCTTTCTTTATTAGATTTAAACGAGAATTTGACTTTTAATAGGACACAATGGAGAAAAAGGATTCATGTAGCCGACCCCACGTAGTGGGATAAAGGCTTGATGTTGTTGTTGTTGTATACAATGACTTGATCACATAGAAACCCCCAAAAGCTGATACAAATTGTAAAATATGATTGTGCCATATATTATGAACTACAAAAATCAAGTTGGCCATGATTCACTATTTTATATAAATTTCATAATAAGTTTATTTCAATTATAGTCTTGTGTTTCCATGTTTAATTGTTTCTCATCAATCTTGTATGTAGCACATCTAGTACGTACAACTAAAAAATAAAATTTTAAATTCTTCATTTGGCACTTTCTTTCATCTTGACAGTTTTAAATTTTGCCCACTTTATGAGATCACACTGCAGCATGTGATTTATTTGAAAGACCAAGGGTACATAATGGATGCAAGGCATTTTATACATTAGATGATATCAAACATACAATAATAGATGGCAATAGAAATCAGCAAGGTGATATTAATTGTATTGCCAAATTTTGTGATGACATTGTGCCGAGGAATGTTTTAGATGACAAAGGCATTCGTCACAAGGTCACTCAACAAAGGATTGTAAGTATGTAAATATAATAATCCCATAGGCATCCATAAAGTAAAAACAAACTAAGCAGCTAATAATGTTTGTTCAGCAACAATACTAACAAAATACATTTTGGTTGCAATGGAAGGTTATATTTGTATAGATTGCTGTCAAGACAGGCGTTCCGGCTTTATCAACTTTTCATTTTCATTTAATATACAAGTCTCTTTTTTTTTTTTCAATAACAGTAAATGTGCATGATAGCTAGTCAGCCGTTAAGGCACTCTTCTTGGTTTATTTTAATTCTCAGTTGCAGCTCTCAGAACACGAACATCAGAAATGGAAACTTACTCAGCTACTCTTTTAAACGTGCATACTAATCCAAGTTTCAAGAAATTCCATCAATTAACACTAAATAAATAAATAATTAATTAGATAAACATAAAATTCATCAGGAATTGACCTTCATCAGACAACTGGTTAAAAAATCCAACGTGACGCAGGGATGCCAGAGAACTGAACAGTTAGCAATCACCATTCTCAGAAATTCAAGATCATCAAGCTCATGTTCAATGCACACAATGCAGGCTCGAGGCAAGAGCCGTCAAATATACACATGCGGATTATGAAGGAAAAATGCCAAATCCCTGGTTCATATTGACTAAAGAAGTCGAAATCCAAAGCTCCGGGCCATTCAGCTGCTGCTCATTCTTTTAACAGCGTCCTCCCTTTCAGATTCCAATCATGCATTTGTATATCAGAGAGAAAAAAAAAAGTTAAAAGAACGGAATTAAACATCCTGAGTTCAAATAACTGGGGTTGCAAACATCCATAAGAGTGATGCAATGATTCTATAATTATGTTATAATGAAATTAATAATTAAAACAATGTTTGAAAAATAGGACCGATCAATAGGTTAACTTTAAAAACCGGTGTCACATCAAACTGGATGGAACTGACTACAATTACGGGTTCAAATGAATTACTGTTGAATTGGTAGAATTAACCAGTGCAAATAATGCAGTAATAAGCAGGATTGCTCAATAATATAAAGGCTGAAAATTTTATCATAAAATTTAAATATATAAATTTTATTGATTGAAAACTCCACAACCCTATTACTCGAAATAACAGAAATCAAAACCGGCTGCGCTCTCTCATGCGCAATTTCATCCACCCTTGCCCTTCACCCACGTTGGTGATCATCTCCCATTCTTGATGACGGCCACCCACACGCAATCCTCCTTGAACCACAATGTCTCTCCTTCATAGGTTCGTATTTTCATAAAACTATTAATTTATAATTATTGTAAATATTATTTGTATGAGCTATAATTATTTTTAGTAACATATTTTTATTATCACAATATTATTATATCATTATTACGCCATTTAGATTATATTTAAGTAATTTAAATACATATTATATTAACCTAATTAACCTTTGATCCAACCCCAATTAAACTATTGAATTTTAAACCATTCTCTTCTCATTCCATGCCTAATCTGATTTTCATGACTTCGAACAAATGTTTCAAACTGATAAGAATGCCTATAGCTTGCAATGCGATGGGTTTCATGCATCTAGATAAGCAACAATGCCTTATTTTACTCGTAAACACGTTAATGAACTTCGCATACTTGGGGGAAGCTCAGCTTGATCCAGTGTTAATGGAGACATTACGGTAAAACTCAATCGAAATGCTGCTGCTGCTGCTGCTGCTAGTAGCAGTGGTTCCAATCGTTGATTGTGGAGATCCTAGAAAAGTTGAGTTTGTCCTGCCTTTTGGAAAGACTCCTGGATGGAAAAAAAATCCAAATCATTGGTATAGAGAAGGAGAAAACTTATAATTAAAATTAAAATAACAAATAGACAGTTTTCAAAAGGACTTCCTGCTAAAACACGTAAGATGCAAGCTGGTTCATGCATCAAACAAATCACAATAGACATCTGAACACTTGTTTTTGTTGTTAAATAGAATGAAAGGTGCAATCAATAGATATGATTGTACTAATATTGAAATGAATATTCAATGGGTTTGGTGCAGCATGAATTTGTACTAGATTACAACTAGCATCGAGAAAAAAAAAATCAAATAATTCAATAGACTTGAGCACTTTGACAAAAGACAAACCTGGACATTTCAGCATAAACGTATAAATGAATAAGAATCTAAGCCTCCTAAAATAATATAATATTTGAAGAAATGCACTAGATAAAGGGCTTACCATGAAAGGTGCTATTCAAGTAAATGCATGTTCTTCTTGACCTTATTCATCTTAAAACTATCTTAACTACATAAAAGTCAAATTTAATATTTCCTCTATTTTCTGAAATAATTTAGATCATTCTTAAATGCCTCATTTTGTGCCCTTTAAGGGTCAAACTGTACCTTTCATGTCAAGAAATGTGCCATCACTATATAATCATACATGACAAAAAAATAAAAAATATATATATAATCATACATGACAGTGTATGTACATAGCCATCTAGCAAGTTCTAAAAGAAAACTCGGCCCGAATGTTCTCACCCCTAACAAAGAGC